CAGAGAGTAAGTGAGCGCGAGCGCAGAAGAGAGTTGCCTTGCTTTCCTTTTTTTCTCTTCTCACCACAGGCTACAGAAACAACTTTATTATCAGTAATGAATCAACGGAGCAGTAATACAAAGTATGTCAGTGGAAAACTTAAAATTCTTTTTTTTGTTTGATCCAAACACTCCCATGCCCAAAACATAGTACGTACCTAGAGCTCCTGGCCTATACAAGCAGGGTCACAGTTAAGTCTTAGAAAGGTGGAGGCCATGGACTATTTGAAATAGTATGTGGATGATTTGTTCAAATGTTTGAGTCATATCTCCTATATCCTCAGTGAAAGGGTTGCATTAAGTTAAATTGTCAAATGGTTGCTTGTTCAAATGATTGATTGAAGAGAATATCAGAGCAGAAGGACATAAGCTCATCTACAGTAGATGGTGGTTTATTGGGGACAGAGGTGGAGCACTTTTATCACAAAGTACCTGATCAGCAAATAGGGAGAAAGTAAGGAGGGGGCAGTAAGAGCAATGTATGATCCTTAAATGAGGCAAACACTCCTCAGTAAAACTAATTTCAATTGAATGCCAAAATAGGAAAGCCAGTTTGAGTTTAGCTAGAGTAAAGGCAGTTATTGATCTTGTGCAGGTAACGCCAAATATATTCAGAATATGTGACCTTGTTTTTAAAGTATAGATATGAGAACCTCTGAATATCACCTGCCCAGTATTGTAAGTATAATTGCATTGTTTGGGACTTCGCGTGAAAGTTCTACGAGTAAGAGATAGCTTACCATTCCAAATAAACCTAGAAAGACTTACATCTGCATTTACTGAACACCTCTGAGAATAAAGCAATCTACATTAAGATTTTGTATGCGTGTTTTCCTCACCTCCAAAGCCGTCGGGCACGTATGTCTTGAGGATGATTTGGCAGAAGATGGTGGGCAACGACAGGGGCTTGTTGCCCTCGTTCCTCAGCGAGATGTGACGGTAGCCAGCCTGCAGGCCGTCCAGAGGCAGGATGCGCTGACCAATCAGCTTGTTGTTGTCGTCGTAAACGGCAATGCGCAGGACCGCCAGATCGGGTAAGATCACCTAGGAGGGAGGGATTTAGGGAAATGGAGGTTGGGAGGAAGAAGATGGGGAGGTGAAGAGATGTGAGGACAAAAAGTGTTACAGAAAATAAAAGTCACAGTTAGGGTTGTACATTCAAATCAAGTTTTATTTATATAGCACATTTATAAACGATTTTTGGTCGAGCCAAAGTGCTGTACATATAATAAAAATAGCCTACAGTAGAGACACTTTACAGCAAATACAACAGAACAGATTGTTCAGAATATCAGTATGAGAAAAAACGACATCCTCTATCCTTAGATTACACTTACATTATCCATTTGGATCTCCTAAATACATTCTGGTGTAAAAATAAGTTAAAAATAAACTATTCTGAGCCATTGGAGTTAAACAGTCTCTGTTTTAAGCTAAAGCGGAAATGGCATCATTAAAGGNGGGGGGGGGGGGGGGGGGTCAAGGAGGACACTGCAGGGGACGGTCACAGTGTGAAACGGGGAAAAAGGCATGAGTGCAGCGACACAGCATATCTGACTACTGACAAGACCATCTCCACAGCTAGTGCACACGCAGGGAGTACCTCTTGTGTGCATGTGTTTGTATGTGTTTGTATGTGTGTGTGTGTAAATTGTGTCTGGGATGAGCTTGTGTGCACACCCTTGCAAAAATGGAGGGAGAGTCTGACTGGCCTTGTTTGTGGAGATAAGTGAAAGGAGGATGATTAATACCCAGACGGAGAGGGAGCTAAGAGATAAGATGGAAGAATACTCACTATCGATGAATGGGTAGAAGCACCTGCTTGTGTTTACGTGTGTATTATGCAAATGTGGCCTTGCTGATGTACAGTATGCGAGTGCTGCTGGTGTGTGTTGCTGGCTCTGAGTCATCCCGACAGTCGTGTGTTTAGGTGCATGAGGAAGGTATGGCAGTATTTGAGGGCATTTGTAGATGTGAGAAACGAGTCCTGCCAGCACCTCTGCTTGTGATGCCCCTCTGATAGCACTGTGTGTGTGTGTGTGTGTGTGTGTGTGTGTGTGTGTGTGTGTGTGTGTGTGTGTGTGTGTGTGTGTGTGTCTGTGTGTGTGTGTGTGTGAGCACAGCAGCACTGCGGCAGGCTGTGATTGATGGTGTGTGTTAGGAAGCTGGAGTCACAGTCATGGCTGAGAGACTCCTCATTCTGCTGAGAGCAGCACTATTACCAACACTCTTTCGCTCACTATCCCTGATCCTTCTCCTTTGTCCTCCCCTTTTCTCTTCTTTCCACCTAAATGGTTTTATTTCCGTTAGTTTTTCCTTTATTCTTGAATCACTCCCTCCGTCTTGCCTTCCTCCTCTCATCTTTACTCTTGCTAGAACTGACATCTTACTGTATATTTGTCTTCATCCCCTATTTCCTTGTGACGACACGGTGCTGGAAATAGTGCAGCACATTTGTTTTACCTCACTGTGTCTGTTATCTCTCCCCCCTCTGCTCCCTCATTGGCCAGCAAGCCCTTTCCCCTTCTCACTACCTTTCTGAAGACGAAGGGCTCCTCGTTGTAGAGAGGGTTCAGTCCGTTGTTCATCACCATGCGGGTGCGGAACTCCTTCCGGATGGTGTCCGTCGGCAGCCCGTACATGTCCACCTCAACGTACGTGCCAATTTTCTTGTCTGACAGGAACTGTCCAGAGAACACCTTAAGTAAAACATTAAAAATAGGACATCATTAGGAACATTGATTTGGCAGACATGGATTTCACAAGATCACTATAGAAGTAGTAACTATTGACTTTGAATTATTTAACATTATGTGGTACATTCTAGTACCATCTACTAATGTTTCAAAATTGTAAGTAGAGATGTGTGTTTTAAACAAACTACTCCTCCCCCCTAGATTTTAATCCTACAACAAAACCAAGCCTCAAATGGACCCTTGTATAAATATGAGTATTTTATATGGATACGTTTTATAAAAAAGTACTGTAGTTTTCTTTATTATTTATAGGGTTGAACAGTTCTCCTAGACGAGTACAGGGTCCCATGGACTGACCTGAACACTGCAGGTTGCTGCGATGACTCCGTCCACAGGCGTCTCTGAGAAAGGGTCAAACATCCTGTCTGACCGCCGCATGAAGTCAGGCTTCAGCAGGTACCTGATGACACAACATCAATCCACCTTTTAGATCACATGTTGAAACACTGGAATGAAACACAACATCCTAATAACAATATACTCTTAATAGTTTCTACAATTATTTTAATTTAGGCCCTAAAACAATGTATTGGGAATAAGGAGGTACTTAAGGTGTGTGTGTGTGTGTGTGTGTGTGTGTGTGTGTGTGTGTCTGTGTGTGTGTGTGTGTGTGTGTGTGTGTGTGTGTGTGTGTGTGTGTGTGTGTGTGTGTGTGTGTGTGTGTGTGTGTGTGTGTTTGTGTGTAGGTTCACACATGCATAACCTAATGCTGCAAAATGACGTGCAAACCATTTGCAGAGCCTGTAAACCAAAATCTGTTGTTCCCACGAGTGAGTATGGTTCACAAGTGTGTATGGTTAGGGAAGACAGTTAATTGCAAAGGGGGTGCATGATTTAGATTTATGTCACAGTATGCTGACATACTTTATTTGCCTGATCTTGTATTTAGTCGGTTGTTTTTATAAAGCAAAAAGTACATCAAGAAATAGCACTATGGTTTCCCTAAACAAAAAGCTTATGAAGGTATTTGTGACTAAGCACAGACTCGAGGAGGTTGGTCAGTGTCTGGAATAACATGGTGCCGCGTAAATGTGGTATCCATTGTATTGGAAGTAGAAAGTTCCAGCACAGATCTCTAAAAGACCTTGGCCTATACTTAAAAGTCATCAGGAAAAAAATGCTTATTTTGTAATGTAGAACGGAACATTTTAAACAATGTAATCCAAACGGATTCATCTTTGTAAAGTCCAAATGTTCTAATTGTTCTTGGCATGTGTATATTTGGATGTATGCTATGACTGGGGCAGTGAGGCTTGTTTATCAGTGACTCCATGTTTATCACAAAGAAGATGCTCTCTGTGTGCTGTATGAATATGAAAGGTCAGAAGTTCACTGCATGCTGCACTTTCTCTTGGATCAGAAGGTCAAATGAGTGCTTGCATTTGGTTACACATGTGTGCTTGGAGGATGTTTGTGCTGTATGTGGATTACTTGATATGGGGGTGTGTGTGAGGCCAGAGGTCCCATGTTGTGTGCTGTGGTACCTGGGGTCTGGAAGTTGAGTGAGACCATCTGGCAGCCTGCGTTCCAGAAGATCTGAGGCATGTAATTACTGGAGTCCACCCGGCCCCCTTTGGGGTAGATACGGCTCATCTGACGCTTGTTGTAGCTGCATGGACGCTCAGGAATTTATTTTTTATATTTTTAAAGAGAGAGCATGTGTGTTCCTGCACATGTGTGGGTATGCATCGGAGTGTGTGTGCGTCAAACAGACTGCAGGACTATTTTTAGTGTGAACAGCTTGGGTCAAGCCTTCCCATTGGAGCGAGAGAGAGAGAGAGGCAGTTTATGTGTGTACGTTTGTGTCAAGCCAAGTCACACTGGCCTCTGGAGGCCTGCGGTTCTTTTCCAAGAGCAGAGTGGAAACTCATTTGGCTAAAAAACATCCATTCTGACCTGCCTTTCAGCTCTCATTTAGGTGACCTCAATCTATCATTTAAAAACTGTAGATTTATCAGAAAGCTACATACGGCTTAGCACAAATAGCAGATAGACACAGGTAGCAGCTAAAGAACCACATTTTCCCCATAGGATTTGCTAGAGACCTCAAAATGATGATTTATTAACAAGGCGTGCAGACAAATGAATAATCATGTTGCTTAAAAATTGGAAGATGTTTAAATAAGCTAATGTTAGCAAGCAGTTTGATATCTGTGTAAGCTGATAAGCTAATGTCACATGTTATTTCTGCTGCCCCTAAGTGACCAAAAACATCAGCCATGTTTAAAGCATTTTGTTCAGATTTTGGTGAAGTGGCCATAGTAAGGATGCCTTCACTTTCAGTCACCTTGGATATTCACTATGGTAAAAAAATATTTCCTTAATTGAATAAGATGAGTGCTGTAGCAATTTGACAATACCACTTCTTATGTCATAAAGCAATTATAATGCTCAGATAAATGCAGCACAGCTGAGGCCAAAGGATACTTGACAAACTCGATGGCGTTGGTCTTCAGATAGCCCAAACCCACAGACTCGTTGAATGACGACATGTTATGGTGAATGTTCCTTTCTGAAAGACACAACAAAGGGAATAGAAAGTGCTTTTGACATTTTGCTTTTTACCAGAGCAGCACATAGAAATAAACCACACAAATATACTGAAAATAACCCATCTTTTAATGTACAAGAAGCAGGACTGCAGTAGAAACACCAATAGAGGAAGTCCAAGCTCACCCTCCGCCACGTCAAAACTCTGGAACTTGACGGGCTGTGCGTAGTTGACCATGGCTGAGAGCCACGGGTGGATGTTAGTGGTGGCTCCTACATAGGTGTACTGAGCTATCAGAGCCTCCTCAGAGTCCTCCGCTTCTTCTGCAACCTGCGCAGGAGAGGGACATACACAAACACCCGTTACACACAATCACATACACACACAAACTTAAAAATGGATTGGTTTGATATATGAGTGTGACAAAGTGTAGCAGCAGTCATGTGCTCACCTTTTTGTTATTGTCTTGGTCAGATGCTTCTGAGATATCTGTGGCGTCTGTTGCTTCTGTGGCTTCAGACATCTCCGTCACTTCATCGTCCGGCACCTGGAAACACAGACAGCGCTCCATAATATGTTTCTTTATAATATCAATGTCCATTCTTAATTAAGACTTATTTAATGGATATTACCCAATTATATAAACACAATAAGTTGTAGTTGCTTCGGTCAAGTTTCTGATAGAAGCAACCCTTTAGATTTCTGGCAGTGTAAATAGTTAATGTGAGCAATTCAGTTGTTAACAGTGACATCCCACCTTCTTGGTACTGTTGCTGAGGGTGTTCTCCTTCTTGGAGCTGACAGCGTTGCTCTGGGAAACACTGTTGGCCTCTTTCTCAGTGGTTGCCTCTGACAGACTGCTGGGGGCCTCAGAATTTAACTCAACCTCCTTTTCTCCTGCACACAAACAAACAATGAGACACAGACGTTTATTCTATGATAACGTTTCCTGTTGTGTACATGTCAGCTTAAACCCTTCTTATCACGCACACACACACACACACACACTCAGCTGACCATTCTCTGTTTCCTCTTCAATCTCCTCTCCCATAATGATGGCAGGTGTGTTGGTCTCTCCTGCCTCCATGTGTTTCTTAAAGGCCTCTAGCTGTTCTGTATGACAAACAAACACACATGCGTTAATTAAACAAAACACTGATAAACAGACGTTAGAAAAGTCAGCAGGCTAAGTTGTGTACGTACTCTGTTCCACTTCAGGTTTCAAGCGTTTGTTTTTGATGAGGATTTTACGTTTGAGTTCACCTGGAGAGGGTAAGGGGCGACCAGATTCAATCTGCCCAAGATAACATAAAAAACATAAACATTAAAACATAGATAAATCATATATATCATCCCAATGGATTTGACTGATTTGGTGAGACTTTTTGAATCAAAGAGAGTATCTACCGGGTAGTTTTCCAGAGGCTGTTTGAGGAGGAACTCGCCAAAGGTGTCATCGCAATACTTGGCCATCTTGTACTGCTGTGGTTTACTGCAGAGACACACAGAAGAGCATGGGGTCAACCTACTGTATCTATAAAAAATGACATAATTGTTGCGTAATAACACCTTTGCTTACGGTAGACATACCTGCAATGATTTTCAAAGGACAAAATAACAGGGTAGTCTGAGGTCACAAATGCTGTTTCCTTGATGGCTTGGATAACATCCTGTTGGAAGAGGAAGAAGGATAAAAACAATAAAGGGGAGAAGGAGAAGAGAGCAACGCTTTGATATATGTAATATCATAGGCTCAGCACAAGAGGGCAGGCAAGCCCAATGCAATAACATAGAAGCAGCCAGAAAAAGAATGGGGAAGGGAACGGTGGTTTGCGTGTGTGCGTGTGCGTGTGTGTGTACCTTGAAAAGGATGTCCGTGCACATGGCCTTCCCATGAGTGATGATGGGCTCCTGGTCCTCTCCTTTACCGTCCCAGCAGTCCAGCTCCACACATCTGAAAGAGGGAGAGCAACAGGAACTGCATGAACCCACTGATGATGTACATTTCATGTAATATACATATATAAGAAGTTTAAACTGTGTTTGTTTGCATTAATTGAATAAGACTGCACACCTGCATCCAGACAGCAGGACTTGGCGGTACATCTCCACGGAGGACTTCCCTCCGAACTGTCGCCCAGTCAGGTAGGTGTTGTGGGACGAGCTGATAAAGTAATGGGCCAGCGGCTGATCCATTTCCTGATACAGCTGCAGCCGGTCCAAGAAAACGGGAGCGTTTTCGTCTGACATCAGGTACCGGCAGAATCCATCACTGGACATGTGACCTGCGGGATAGGGAACCGGGAAGTGTAAGGTAGTAAGAATGAAATGTAATTTTTTCTTAATACAATTTGAACAATTAGTGGTCGTTACAAAGAACTTTAATTTGTTTTACTTGGATTTAAAGTAACATTATTACTCTGATAGGCAGTATTAAAATCAAAAGTATTTGTGAATTATAGATTAAAGAAATTATGGATATGCATACATTTTCCTTTTAATTTTGTGCCAAGGAGGAGCACTATCAGTTCATTTTATGATTGTTGATATGTCAAAATGATAAGAGGCATTTTGACAGAACTATGCCAATAGTCTCATATAATATGCTGTAGTTTCAAAGGTACACAGGCAGATGGCAGCACAGCCTAAAAGATGTCCCCCTCCTGCTTCCCTTTGCCGCTCTCTACCTTTCTTCTTCAACTCGTCATCTCTCTCGTATTTCTCGACGATCTGCATTGCTCTCTTGGGGTCGTAGAACGGGAACAGGATCTCATTTAATCTAGGGTCACGCTGGTTCTGAGGAGCAACACGCACACACAGGGATTACATCACTGGCATATTATCTGTACGATCTTTCCACACAAAGTGGATCTAGCGCAAGAAACATCTTCCATTGACAAACAGGACAGGGGCCAACCAAATGCAACATGGGAAACGTACCATCAGTGCTCATTTCCTTATTTTGATTTATTAATATAAGTAAATCAAAATAGTTTATTTTAGTAACTTTTCTGGGCTTAAATGGAGAGCACTTAGGTATAAATAGGAGGAAACAAACACAATGTCATTTCTAAGATGTTCTAAAACAAAACAAGTGTTTGCTTAAAAAGGAAGGAAGTGGTATGTGATGCGGAGGTTGAAGGCAACTCTACTTTAAAAAAACAACAGCATCAAAACATCGTTATAATGTCAGTGCCCACACACACAGCCAGGTGGGAATTAATCCAAACAAAGCACTGGCTCTGTTGCTCATCGATGCGCAGGACTGGGCATGAAGCAGCAACACACAGCGGGGGGCCCGGGCAGGTAGGCATCCAAACACAAGAGCACGGCCACAGAAAACAGACACAGACAGCAGGAAACGAGACGAGCCGAGCCGGAAGCAACAGGACGGGAACCTCTACCCTCCTGTTGCCGTGGCAACACCAATCAGACACGAGGAGGAGAGCCGGGGTAGCCAGCACATGGGGGATTGGGATGAGGGCGGGAATGCAGAAAAGGGGAGCTGGTGGAAGTTGCCCTTGCAGGTTGACTGGAGGTTAAATACTTTGTGCACCTCATTAAAAAGGACTTTTCATTTAAGGGCTTTTAATGAGGGTCAGGGTCCGTGCAGCCGGGCTGGAGGGCAACTTCTAACCAGAGTGGGACGGGGCAGAGCAGGATGGGGTTGCAGCAAGCAAAACACAGAGAAGTTAATGAATGATAAAGAGCTTACTTCATTCAGAAAGCTGACTAACTGGTCTACAGTTAAATAATCAGTTTCTTTCCCATTGCTGCAAAGGAATTCATTAGAGAAACAAAATGTTATGCTTCTTAAAAATAGACACCCTCACAGTCATTCACACATTCAGTCAGTTAATATTAGAAAGCAGTCTTTATAAAAAGGGGGTCATACTTAAATGTTACACGTTTAGTAATAACATGTTAATAATCACTCGTATTTAACTGTGGAAGCAGGTTAGGCTGTCCAGACAAAGTTAGTGCAGCAGGCGCAGAAACATTTGTCCTGATTATTTCAAGTAAGATGCAGTAGCTCACAGTTGGGGAATATGTCATTGTTCTGTATCTGCAACTAACATGGGTATAGACAATGCTGGGGGGCTACAGTTAAGTTGCTTATTTGGACAAGTGGTCATCTTCTAGTATTAATTGTGAGGTAAAAAAATCAGTAAACATGATTACCAAGAAAACAGTGGGCAGGTTTAAAAAATAATAAAAAGCAGACTCACATTTTCTTGAAGAGTTCCTCTATGTCTGTGCGAGGGCAGATCTTCTGTGTGAGCGCGTAGAAAATGTCAAAGGTGAAATCTGAAGGTTCAATCTCATCGTTCTGTGGGAGATAAACAAGCCGTGAGAGATCTGCACCTCCAGATTAAAGTGTCACATATCATACGTCTGACCACTGCGGCCTTCAGCCAGTGTCTGACCTTTCCACTCGGAAGGCCGAGGTCCTTCAGAGCCTGAAAGATCCCCTTCTCCGTCTTTCCTGATGCAAAGGTTCGAGTAATGCTGTGAAAGAATCAGAGAGAAACACAGTGTGAGACAGATGAGAGTCACTGGGATGGCCAAATAATTGTACCAACTATCTAATTTATTCTTACCCTCTTACGGGAATTTTACCATTCACATTGGTCAGGAAGCACATTCTCATCCAACTAAATGAGACATGAAAAAAAAACAATTCGGATATTTCTCATACCAGAGTTGTACTTCGTAAAGTTTAGTGAAATCAAAAAACTAAAGTGCTAGAAGTGTTCTAATGTAAAATGCACTCACTGTTTCTTGAGGCAGGTCATTGGACAGACGTTGTTTGCCTTAAAGTTGTGAATCACTGACCTGAGACCCTCGATCCATTTCTGCAAAACAAACAAGCACCAGTGTTCAGGACAAACACTGTCAACACACTGACCATACACTCCCAGAGTATACATTGTGTTTAGAAGTGAGTGTCATGGGGGAAATAAACACAAGCAAATCAATTGCCTCTTAAATTCACACGCACACACAGACACGGTTGATGGCCTTGACACACACACACACACACACACACACACACACACACACACACACACACACACACACACACACACACACACACACACACACACACACACACACACACACACACACACACACACACACACACACACACACACACACACACACACTGATAGAACAAGGGATTCATTGTTTTCTGCCATTTCCTTGATTTTATGAAATGTAGTTTGTTTCTTTTCTCTTAATATGCTTATTATTACTTGGCATTTTTGAAAGATTTTCCGTTTTACATTCGTGCAAATAAAGCATAATAAATTAATCAGACAATCTCATCTGTTCCAAACTAAAATGAATTAATGAGTGAGAACAAGATGGATGGAGTGGCAGTCAGATTTCTCAAAGAGCTTTTTTTGTAGCTGAGTGCGAAGGAAATCAGAGGTAGAGTGAGATAGTAGACAAAGAGCGAGACAAAGAGGATGAGAAAATAACAGCAGAAGCAGGAGCACGGGGGTCTCAAAGGGAGATCGAGATGAGGTGAGACAGGGAGAAATGACTCATTCCAAATGTGTCTGTTTATCAGAGAGAACCAAGGCCGCGTAGGAGTTAGCATGTGAACCATTCACCTAGCAATTTGCTTTCTTTCTGAAGTAATCATTTGCTGTGTAAGGGTTCCATATGATGTGGAAGTGTTAAAGGAAAGTGTGGGTGAACTCAATGTGCTAGGCAGAGTTGATACCAGCTTTATTCCCAGAACATGTTTTTCTAACCAACAAAATCAAAACAAAATCACCTGAAAAAAAGACGGATTTGTCAAAGCAGCACTGACTTTTGATATGAGGAACATCAAACTAATTCTCCAGTTCTGCAGGTCATAGATATTGTATCATTTCACTTCTCCATTCATAAGAATGTTTGTATTTACCCTGGCTGTGTCCGGGCTCTCGGCCACCATGAACACGAAGTTGAGGTTGACCAGGTCTGTGCCGCTGCAGATGCAGATGATGCAGCCCTCTAAGTCCGACTCTGTCTTTCCAAGGGCCTCGAATGATGCCAAGATCTTGGGTTCCTGAGAAAAAGCGAAATCAAGAAGAGCGTCAAACAGATACAAATACATGCCTCAAAAGATGACAGCAAGAAACAGAAGCATCCCGAGAAAGGAACGGGGATGGAAACGGAAACAAGTGGTCTACAGTGATGTGTCTTCATTTGGACTAAGTGAGGTCCCTTAGTAGTGCACTGCCATATTGTGCACTGAAAACATTAGTGCAGTATGTGAATGTCTCAAAAACAGATGGTGTGCACTCACAGGAAGTGACGATCGCCGCTGTTAGCTAGCTAGCTACGATCCTTTGCAGTACTAAATCAATACAGATGGCTCAATTAACCCTATAAATGTATCGATGGCCTCTTTTTAACCCCATGATAGTGGTAGGTTCCTTAAATTGTGAAAAAAAACAACATGTATCACTTTTATTTGTACTGTGCTATGTTTACTGAAGCAACCGCAACAGCTACAAAATATTTTACTTCCTGTATGTAGCCAATATGGCAGCTGTTGGGTGGGAGAAGTATCCACTATCCACACTCAACTTTTAGACCGTTATGATTACTCATAGTGCACTGCCTTTTGCCATACTTTGCAAACTTATGAACAAAAAATATCAAACATAAGTAATTACGTTTTTTAATTGAGAAACAGTTCAGGTGTCACATAACCTCAGAAATGTAGAGAGGTATTGCATTTAAAGAAATCTAAGGGGATCTCTTATTCCGGTATCTTTGCAGTAAATAGTTACAAATGACAGAACACAATGGGGAAGAAGCTTAGAGAGAAGGCAGTTGAAATGTTTACTGCTATTGTAGAAAAGCCTCAGGAATATGAGGACCATGTCTGAGAGACATAAAGCTCTGTGTCAGCCAAAAAGGGATACAATGGACATTCATCATGGAGGACCAGATTACAATAATACATTCAAAAAACATCTCAGTGGCTCGATGCTTTGGATGTGTTTCACAGTCGTGGAAAGCAACACTTCAGACGCAACTTTACTTGAGTAGGTAGGAGAAGGTGAGCAGACGAGTGGTGAGCAACATGATGGAACTGACAGGAAGTAGCCAAGTATATTTGAGTGTAGTTTGGTTTAATTTCAGCCAAATACCAATCAACAATTAAGACAGATTGATAATTATCTTGTTTTTTTTAGCAATACAGTTGACAAATGTAGGGTAATGCAATGGTGGCTTCTGAATAGGTTTCTATTTGTTGGAAAAACAAATACAATCCTATGACACCTAAACATGATTTTCTGTCTTCTATGTCAGTGAGTTTTAATTTCTGTAATAACAAAATCGGGGGGAAATAAAGTGATTTGTATCGGGATTGAGCACACATCATAAAAGTGGGGAAGCTCATTTGAATGCACAACAAAAGAACAATAACGATAGGGAACAACACTATTATTGGTCCAAACTACACAAGTGTTGGCCTTTGTTTCTTATTTTCCTTACTCCACCAATAATCTCTAACAACAAAAAATATAGAAAACAACCACTGTACTTAGAAATAGAATCTCAATCGAATTTTAATGCATTTATAAGGGTTAAATAAAGGGTGAAAAGGCTTAATATCAACTATCTATATTTAATGCTGAAAAGTAAATGCACATATTACACTAGATACCATAATATATAACTATGTATACATTCTGACATTTAAAGACCTGAAGAAGAAGTTATTTCGCCAATAAAAGATCTCAACCAGGAAACCCAAGAAAATATTATCTCACTATCAATGAAACAGCACGACTCCTTCCTCTCATCTTTTCGGATTTCCACCATCATCGTCACCATGGCAGAGCGTAATGTATTTGTGTTAAATAATTGAATTAGCTGCAACAGGCAACAGGCTCTGCCGTTTGAAAACCCCAGCCAGCAATTACCCTGTGCCATTCATCTTCTGGTTCTCATTGGATTATCTGAAACAGCGCTCGGGGGCTCGTGTCCCCGCGTCAGCCTCCGAGGAGAAGCCCTGCTCTCGCTTGTGTGCGACTGACAGAACGGTATACGATGTTTTGAGCAAACAGGAGGAGCTGCCTGCAGGCTGTACAGTCTGTATACGTGCCCTTACACATGTACACACGCACACATGTACACACACACACGTCCACACGGGAGGGCTGGGCAAACAGACCCCCTCCTGCTGTCAACAATGCGTACACAACCCGGTAATACTTGTGTACACACCAGTGTCTCCTGTCAGCTGTTTGACTTTCAGTGGCTTGACAGGTTTGCATCCTAATTATCGGCAGGCGTCCGCACATGGGGATTCTCCTAACAGCTTTCATAATTCATCTATTCCGTATGATGCCAAACGCTACGACATAATAATTCATTAACTGCATGAAGCAATATTGAACATACAGGGAAACCATACAGGATTCTGTTTGTGGATTTGGCTCTATATCGGCTAAATAAATAACGAATGGTGCCAGCTGCTCTGAAAATACAGAAAAAAGCAGCGTGTCGGTTCATAATGGCTATTTCGAGATCAGTTTCTGATCACAAGGTAAGGGAAGGTAAGGGATCCCACAGTTTGTATTGTGTTCGCAATCAAAAAGCACCATTTCTAATAATTCCTCTAAAGCAAACACAAACATTCTGATACATACATCCTGGAGCTAAACCCAGCAAGGGTTGTATAAATATTGAGTTAAATATTTCATGTTTCTGCCTCTGGAGAATCTGGTAGAGAGAAGAGGTTTAACACACAGTCCCAGATCAGTCAGTGGATCGATAGACTTCTCTAATTAAAGCAGGGATAACATGACAGACGTGGGACTCCCCCTGCATTTGACTAGGAATGCCACTGCGAGCGAGCAGGAGACCGAACGCTGGGTGTGGTGGGCGGAGAGCGGGAATGTTGTACAAAACGGAAGCGAGGAAATTGTCTCTTCTCGAGGTCTCACCTTTGGGACGCCACCGACGCGAATGCTGTTGATGAGCGAACACTCGAGAACCTGGCCTTCCTGCAGGAGAGAGACACGGGAAGATGAAGAGGAAATAGGTAGAGGGAGACAGAGAGGGGTGAAATATTTAGAAACCAAGATGGATGGGTCACAGTGCTTTTTATTTGTTTGGCAATAATTTCTAATACACAGCGGCAACACCACAAGATGTGGGTTATTATGAGAAACATCTCCACATCTCCCCCTTAATCAAGTTTCCAATACTGATAACATTTTCCTCCTTTGTTTACTGCTTTCAAGATGGATATTACACATGGTTCAATTTTGGAAATCATTTGCGTTGAGACAGACTCCTGCATCACAACACAGGATAAGCAGGGGTAAAGAATGCATGAAAAGAGAAGCGGATGTTGACTATGATTGATTACCTATAATCTCCATTGGGTGATTGTAAAAGCAAATGGGCATGTAGTGAAAGCAACCGGCCAGATAGAGGAAAGGCAATCAATGTAACAGAATGCATTGGAACATAGTTATGACAAAAAAGAAAATTATAAGTATGGCCCAAATCTCTGATAGATGCAAATACAATTACATTTGAGTTTTGCGGCCTTGATAGGAACACATTATATTTGCCAAGGCGACAGTTTTAAATAATTTGTTTTCTTACTCAAATGAATTAAACAAAGAATAAAGTGAAATTCCTCTTGACAAACGTGTCTCTAGACGTCCGTAAAATCACATGTTGTACTACAATACCAGAATATACCAGTTTGCACTGTCCCTGTTAAATAAACTAATACAATAAATGCAGCTTACTCTGTTTATGAGTGGCAGGATTATGATGATGCTGATGTATGTGTTATGATTTTTTTTTCACATGGTCTGGAGTTTTCCAAGGGCCAAGAAAGGTTTGTCTCAGGGAAAAAAAGATTTCAATATGATAATAAACATGACTAAATCTAAATACTTTGAAGAGAATACACTTTCATGAGTCGTTGAGTTTACCTTCCCCTCACTCTTCCAGCAGATGAAAAAGCCAAACTCGTCCACCGTCATCTGACAGTTGGGCTCAAAGACGAACGGGTCCTGCAGAGGAAAAAAACAACATGTTTTATAAGAGACGAGGGCTTCATCAGTCACAGGGTTTTATTTGACATGGGGAGACATTAAACAGCCAACCTTTTAAAAACACACAGGGGTTACGCAACCAGACAAACAGGTGAAGCTAATCCTTCTTTTAAAAGAGGTACCTGACTGGCTGAAGACACACACACACACACATACACACACACACACACACACACACACACACACACACACACACACACACACACACACACACACACACACACACACACACACACAGACACACACACTCTCAAACACAGACACACACACACACACACACACACACACACACACACACACACACACACACACACACACACACACACACACACACACACACACACACACACACACACACACACACACACACACACACACACACAAGCACGTTGCGTGAGGAGAGGAAACCTATTGCCAGGGCAAACACAAATGTGTCGGCTATGAACTGTTCAATGCAAACATCATCTGGCTGGAACACAGAGCGGTGCTTTAGAGGGGAAAGTGAGGTGCATGTGTGTTTCTGCATGTGTGTGAGGGAGATTTAAAGTGTGTGCGCCCATCTATCAGCTCCTGTGCAACATGCAGCGGCCCTATTCTTCTCAACAGGAGTGTGAATGAATGGCCGTGTCAAAAAGCACTCAAACCACAGTTATAAAATATAAGAAAAGAATAGGAGACGGCTGCTGGGTCACTGACTGATATTAGTGGTAAAGAACAATGTGTCGTATTATGTTGCTTCAATGAGATACAATGCTGCAAATTGGATTGAGTTTGCTTTATTTGGCTACATCTTGTTATCGAAAACCACCATCTTCTTTGCATCAAGGAAATGGTGAGCCTGCTGTGAGTGCAGCTAAAAGCTTGCCTCTCTTAATTCTGAAATGGGACTGAAAGAGGTTTATGAAAGATAATGTCACAGACTGTTTAGAACATACAGACGGCGGCTGTTACACTATCAGACAACTGGTTCTTGTAAAACTATACGGTTTATGGGAACACTCAGTGCTTCCTCACAAATAGGAGCAATGGGTGGATGTGGATGGATACGAGTTATGGTGGTCCAGCTCCCTTTTAATACAACTACATTCTTTTCTAAGTGCCTTGGTAAGTGCAGCAAGACCAGGTTATTCGGTTTTAGAAGAAAGAAAGCATCTAGATGTGATACACACAATCGTGGAATGTGAAACATTCACACACATCCTATCTGAGACACACGTTATTGTACATATAAACATTCCCATTAGCATTTCATAAACTATATTAATATGAGCCATTGGATGGGTGATGAAACAGGAAGTGCTCTGACCAAATGGAGCCCAGCAGTAAATGACTTACAGAATGGATTATTAATTATAATGCAAAAACACATTACTCTTATTATATCTTTCCTTATTTTGTTATATATCCTCATTTTGGTTTAAAAGCTTTGTTTCGTTTTAAGTGAATAATATCTTATGTCTGATACATTTCGAGCAATCATCATGAAGCAAAGAGAGAAAAAGTAGTCTGATGCTGTCGGTATATTATATTTTCAGTGCCTCACGATTCTGACCTGTTTTTCTCTGCCTTCATTAACGACCTGTCAATATGAGGCCGTTCTGTCTCCATGGAGGCAAAAAAACAGACAGATCTTAAGTAATGATTTCCAATCATGGAGACAATGACACACACATGCACACACACGAGAAATCCACTCGGCTGTCAGCATGACTGATCACTAAAGATCTCTTTGACCTTTGAACTTGCTACCTCTGGTCATGTTAATGAGGGAAACCCTTCAGAAAGATCTCACTCTAAGATGAACACTAATTAACTGTTGGAAATCTATAGCTTATCCATAAGCCTCCTCCAGTGCTTTCTCCAGGTTAGCTTGACGCAACACAACAAGAAAATGTAAGGAAAATATGAAAAAGGACACAGGCTCAGTTCAAAGAGGGACACAATATCACTACATGATCTTATAAAGAGTCCTTGTAAGATATTTTTTAACAGGACATAAATAACTATGTGTAGCACTGAGAGAGCTTTTGCAATGATAGGGATCCCCAATAAAGCTTTATAATGGATTGAAAAATATGTAGGAACACACACACAGACACACTAACACACCTGCACATTGCCTGTCTCTACAATCTGACACTCAGTAGAAAAAGGATTTGTGGAAAAGATCCATGCTGTTCAGCATATTTGTGCCTGTGTGTGTGTATGTATGTGTGTGTGTGTCCTTATGAGAGTGACTGATAAAGAGCACGTCTATGTCAGTGGGAGGACTTGGCGTACGTAATTTCAATCGAAGCAGATGTCCCCTGCAGGCTTTGTATTTGCCTGGCAACAGAGCAACAGCTATTCACTCACACACTCACACAGAAAGAAAGACAGTTCATAACATGGGCTAACATTAGCTACTGGTTTACAAATAAAACACCTATTTTGTGACTAAATAAAGGACTGTACAATTTTCTACTTCCACACACTAAACTGGGGAGACGGGCAAGAGTTGACGTCAATGTGATTTTAACCTTTAAAGGTCTCCTATCATGCAAAATGCACCTTTGATGTCTTGTATGCATACATATGTGTCCCCGGTGTGTAAGGAGACTCACAAAGTGTCCGAAAACAAAGCCCTCTCTCTTTTCCTCCGTACCCAAATCTATAAAAACGGGAGTAGAACGGAGCTGATCCAGATTTGCGTCCGATATGACGTAATATTGGAAATGTGGGCTGGTTTTACACCCACGGCCCTATCAGAAACGTTGCTATCAGAAACAATGAGCGACGTGTTTTGGAAGTAATATGGTCTTTGTGTACATTAGCAAGCATCGCTAACACTCAGAGCTAAGCTGTAGGCTACTGGAGAGAGTATGTGTAAAAAATCAGGATAAAAAAAGGTACTCACCTTGTGGTAAACCCGCAAGAGAAAAAGCATTTGAGATAATGTTTCAGAAATAATCCTTGATGTGGTTTGGAATATGCCGTTTAATCACGGCAGCCTTTAGCTGAGTATCTCGGTAAAATTCTGAGCAGGCATTAGCTCCCCCTCCTCTTTTTATTTTATTTTATTCAATTTTTGAAAAGCTACTGACCCAGAATCAGCACTTCTCTAACAGGGCTGAAATAGAGGGGTATGAGGCATGGCTAGAATGGGTGATCTGTTTGGTATTTTGAGCAAAACACGTCATAGATATGTTTTTTATAAATAGTTATATATCTGAGACCTATAATATATCTCTAAGAATGGTATAATAGGAAAGCCTTAATGAAGAGCTGCTGTATTGAAAAGGATTGTACAGTTTTGCTTGATAAAGTGGCCATTGAGCGTATGTTGTTTGTGTTGACAGCATGCTGAGGCGCTGTCCAGCCTGCGCTCTGAGATGGTGAGGGCCCAGACGGAGGAGCTGCGTCGAATCCAAAAACATGCAGACGACGAGAGGGACAAACTGCAGAAGGAGGTAGAAAAAGAGAGAGAAACCGTACAGAAGGAAAGGGAACAAGAAAAGAATAAGTTTGAGAAGGACAGAAACAGACTGCTAAGAGAGAGGGAGGAGGAGAGGGAAGAGGTGGAAGGGATCAAAGAACGTCTGAAGAGAGAGAAGGACGAAGAGGTGGACCGGCAGAGGAAGGAACTGGAGGTCGAGAGGGTTCGCGTTCGCTCGCAGTTGGACAAGAACATTGAACAGGTGGAGGCGGAGAGGGCCAATGTGCAGCAGAAGCTGGAGGAGGAGAAGAAGAGATTGGTGGAGAAGGCTGAGGAGGACAGGAAGCGTTTGAAGGAGCAGGTGCGGAAGGCGATAGAGGAGGTGATGAGGAGGCACGCGGCCGAACTCCACAGCGTCCAAGAAGCTCTGAGCTCAGAGAGGAAGACCAACCAAGAGGTCAGCGTCCCTCACTCATAATGGGGGGAGGTTCACTTAATTGTTTTTGTCTGAGCATTTAAAGAGCAGGAAGAGGAACCAGTAGTAAAAGTAGACATTGTTCCTATTGTGTAGTGATTTCAAAAATGTCAAAACAGCCTGCTGTGTAACTGTGGCTGCCAGCTCCTATCGGCTTAATTATTTCAGTTTCAGTATGATTTGGGGTTTAAATACTTACTATACAAGGACATCGCTGTAAGAAATATGTTTTTTCTTCATCGTCTGACACAGTTGCAACATATTACAAAAACAATCGTAGAAACTCTGTTAAGCGTTCACAGAAATAATTAGGTTACGCCTTGGTGACCCCATGTTAGCTGCATGTCATAGGCGTATAACGATAACGAGGTCAACAACAAAGTGAATCATTTGTATTTTAGAGGGGCTTAAGAAATAACATCTTAAATTAATTAGCAAGCAAAAAGCAAAGATCTGAAAAATCAAAACAATGTGTGTAGCTTTAAGGTTTTTACTTTCATGTACTATATTGTAGATATCACAACTCCTTCACCACTGGTTTGAAAGAGCAGCCTTAATGAATATTTTTAAAGTGTTTAAATGTAGAAATATAATGAGATTTTATCGCATAATTGCCTGCTCTGTGAGCCTTTTGTTAATGTGAACTTCATCATGACAATTTAATAATTAGGCCTAGTAATAAGAAGGTGATAGTATAGTTGGGTTAAAGTGCTATAAAGGAGATAAGTTGTGAATGTAATAATGGTGATGACACATTTTCTTGGAAGGTGTGTTTACGTTTGGATGAACAGAGGAGGAACGCTGAGGAGCTACGCAACGAGCTGGAGAGGGACAGAGAGGAGCTGAGGACAAAACTGAAAGATGCCTCCAATGAGGTCAGAGGTTAAATTATACAAAATGAGCATTTCTACCAGTGAAATAATGTGTGATAATATGTAAAATCAAAGCTCCTCTGCTCTCAGACCTGTAGGCTGCAGTCAGCGTTCGAACATCAAGACAAGAAAGAAAATGGGGCCCCTGAAGCTGCAGCCTCGTGTGGACCGCAGTGCTCTCGTCAGGAGGAAGAGCTCCATCAGACCCGGAGTCGTCTGGCACGGACGCAGGAGGAGGGAGAGAGGCAGCGGGACAGGCAGCAGAGAGAGATGGCCTCCCTGAGAGCTGACAAACACCGGCTGGAGGAGAAAGTCCTGGAGCAGAGCCGACTGAACACGGAGAGGAGTCTTCTCGACCAGAGCCAGCGGCAGACTGAGGACCGGATCAGGTAACAGAACAAACAGCAACCTGCCAGATCTGCTTAGGCTTACATTACAAAGCCTCGGCTCGGATTGTAATCCCCCCTGTCATCCTGTTAAAGAGCACTGGGGAAGATCAAAGTTGAGAAGCAAATCATTTCTATCGTGGCTCATAACAAACAGCAGCCGGCTGTCCTATTTTAAAATGGGCAAGCAAAATTCAGAAAGATACGTAATTGGCAGGGAGTGTGTGGATCCCCCAGAAACAAATTGTAATTCAAAACAACTGCCTTCACCACTTAACCACTTGGAGTTAATCAAGACACAGCCACGTGGTTTAGCCTATATTAGTTAGATTGAGGGTGCCATGAAAACTGACATACCTCATATTGAAATTAACCAGGCACGAAAACAGCCAACTATTTCATCCACCTACTTTGCAAACGTCTTGTTTTCACCGCTTAATAATCCTGTCTGATCATTCAATTAACGTTAGGGGAGCTGTCTGGCAAAGTTAGCAAACAAACACTGACTACAAATTAGTTCAGCATTCACACAACACCACAGAGACACCACAACACCACAAAGCTCATATAAAGTTTAGCTAGTGTCAGTGTGTCAACAGGGTTCATTCAACATGTGAAACTATCTTTTTCTATGTTATATTTTCACTGATGATGATCACAGTTAAGCTAAAGTCAACAATCAGCGACAGGTTTAGCTTGTTTTAGTCCGTTTTATTAATGATCATTGGAAAAGGCTGCTTAAATATAATCATCTATTTGCATGGATTATGATGATGTGACAATCACTGATTTAGAAGAAATAACCATTTCCCCCAGGTGGTAAATTGGTGCATACCATTAGGGTATCAGGTTCAAGGGTCAGTGGTTCAATCTCCTGCCCTGCAGTTAACACGTTGAAGTGTTGACCCCAAATTGCTGTCTATGGTATTGAAGTGTTTGCTTTGGATTAGAGCGTAAACTAAATGTAATGTAATGCATTAGCACATCTTGCTCCATTGCTCGGGTGCCAATGCCTGCAGCATCTTTTCCTCTCTTACATTTGATCATTTTAATTAGAATGAGCTTTATCGACAGGTAATATGTTTTACCAGTAAAACACATGACTAGAAATAAGCTGCAGTGATAAAAATGATTCATGTTGATAAAAACAACAGTGTCAGTACATAAGTGAAAATTAAATCAATACCACAATCCAATATAAACTCTAGATATAATGGTTTTCACAATTTGGCAATTATTCCTGTCTTGTCTCATATCATGATTCAACACATCTTCTGTTTCATTACTGTATAAACAGGCTGTAAACAGCAATTCCTTTTATTTGAATTGGTGTAATTCATCTAAAATAACCTTTAACATGCAGGTTTCCCCTCTTATAAACGTATGGCATCATTATTGTTGTCTATTCTTTAAAAATAGAAACATGACTTTCCTGTTTTTGGGTCTTTTCCATTCAAAGGCACACAAGACCTGAGAATAAGATGTTTCTACTCCAGATTTACTTATTGCTTAATATGAAACAGAAAACAAGGTTTTGTCAAATTAAACCTATGAAGGAAAGTGAGAAATAATTAGGTTACTACCACATTTATGAAGCCTGAAACTTAATCGTTAGAAGCCCCAAACAGTGAGAATAACAAGAAGAAATAAGTAGAACGTTTGCATGTAGGTTAACTCACTTCTGGTTGTGATGCGCGCCTGCAGGGCAGAGTGTGAGGATCGTCTCAGAGCGGAGTTCAGGATCGAGATGAATGCCGCCGTGGCAGAGAGCGAACAGAGGTGGCAGAACAAAGAGCAGGAGCTGCAGAGCCAGATATCTGAGCAGCAGAATCAGCTGAGCGAGCTGAAGTCAAAGGTGTGATCCCTCTTCAAAGTACCTTCCGACATGCTGATTTCTCTCTCCTAAAATGATCTCATTATAGCTTGATACGCAGACTGGGTTGCTGTTTAGTTAATAGTTAATCGTTTTAGTATCTGAAAGAAGAGATAAAGATCTGGACAGTAAACCTGAGGTCTGCCACTGTTCCAGACTGGCATTGGAAGGTTCTTAAAACCAGATTAACTAAAGTTATCCAGTTTGATCCACTAAATGTTTTTTTGATAAAGCCAAGTTTGCTGCTTAGTTGTGGACCGACAAAGAAATATACCTATTAGGATTTATCTGAGCCGAGTATGCTGTTTTTGAAATGCTTGTTATGGCCAAACAACTATTCAAAACCAACAGATAATTATAAAGCTGGAACAAGCTAATTATTTGGCAATTTTTTGCCAATTAATCTTCTGACAATCATTTAATATACCACATGTTAAGGGTCAGAGATGATTCTTCACCTTTAGTTGCCTTCAAAATTATCTTTATTGTATTTATCTTGGGTTATACTTTTATTGCCTGACCAATCAAATGTGTCAAACTCCACATATTAGATTTAGTAGTAATGATAAATGCTTCCTGTGAAAGCTGTTGTATAAAATTACTTCTGTAATTCTGAGAAAATAACTCTGACCATATCACCTTGGTGTCTGAAAGTCTGCTAGGTGACGCTTTAAAGATATAGGAGTTTACCAGAGAGGAAGGGTCTACCACTCTTCCTGCTTTTATCCTGAATATGTGGGATCCAGTGTTTTGAAGCCCTGCTTCAGAATAAAAGTATGGATATTTGAGTTGCATCAATTGAACTGTTCTCCAACTTAATGGAAGTGCAAATACTAAATTGCTAGAGGACTCTTTTAATTAGTTCCATAAGTCTATTTTGTGTGCACAATGAAGTGAGTTATTTATTTATTTTAATAAAGCTTGTTTGAGTCTGCAAATTCTTAAACAAAAGCAGCTTCTTGCATTTAATTCCAAATTTATCAATTCAGGATTACTGCACACACACAAGAGCCTTAAAAATCCTTTGCTCACAATTTTTCTTGCCAACACAGGCGGAGCAAGAGAAGGAGTGTCCGGGAGAAAATTGCCATGGCAACCCTGAAATTGACAGGCTTAGAAAAGAGGTCCAAGACACCAAGGAGATAAACAAGAAACTGAGGGATCTGCTGCAGGTACACTCAAATCATTTCTCTGTGATGAATAATTAAACAGCCCTGATGAAAGCGCTGCAGTGAAGAGGCACCGTAATATTCTCCTACCAGAGTGTGCGTTTCTCTTAATGTTAGCGAGGGGCTTCTGTAACAAACGATGTGTTACAGGAGCCCCAAACCCAGACTTCAGGAGAGGAGAGGCACAGTCACGCCAAGGCTCTGCAGGCGTTAGAGAGACAGGCGAAAGAAGATCTGCTGTCTGAGAGGAACAGACTGCAGACAATGCACCACCTGGAGCTAGGTATAACACACACACACACACACACACACACACACACACACACACACACACACACACACACACACACACACACACACACACACACACACACACAGACGACGACGACCGACGGACCGACCGACCGACCGACCGACCGACCGACCGACCGACCGACCGACCAACCAACCAAACCAACCA